TCACTCCTACCTCCCCTTTGCCCATTATGCTAAACTAAAAAACCAACCAACCATTTCTTGATGAGTGCATTCAGCTCTTATGCATCATTTGCAAGATACAGTAAAACTGAGGGGTTTTTTATAAACTGCATGATATATCCTTCAGTTTACCTTCAATGTCTCTAGAAGAGCTTCTGGATCCACATCTGAGATATCAGGCTCCTGAGAAATTGAACAAATAAATAATAGATGAGGCTTAAATGGAAAAAATATCTAATAAATACTGCAATAATCATCCAAGACAATAATCTGGGGATACCGAGCAGAATTCATCGCTCATCATTACTAGCTACAATGGAATCCATCCTGCATTTTCCGGCACAGGTTTCCCAGACAAAGAACCTGGACTGTTATAATTTCTCACTGGAGGTGAAATTCAATTTTTTTTACTATCGGTTCTGTGGGTATGGCTTGGTGGGAGTGGCAGGGGGAGGAAACTGCAAAATCCCCATTCCCACCCTACTCTGGGGCCAGCCAGAGATGGTATTTGGCAGTTCTCCAAACTACTCAAAATTTCTGCTACTGATTCTCCAGAACCTGTCAGAACCCGCTGATCACGCCTGATTCTCACCTCTGCATCTGCTCCTTCCTCCACAGCCATTTTGCTAAAGAAATCATCATCCAACAGGCCCCTGAAAATACAGAGGAAACAAGTAAGGAGAAGAATGGATCCCGCCGCAAACAGCTACAAGTTTTATCAAAATTCCCTAGATTGCTCAGATATTTTAAATCAAGGAGTAGTTTTCAAATTTCATTTCAATGTAGAAGAACTTTTTTTAAGCAATGCAGCTTAAAGAAAGATCCATCAATATATGCAGTTCACAGCAAGAAATGTTAAAGAGGAGAGGGAAAGAACAGCAATAATAGTAATAGGTTCAAGAGGCTCCATTAGTCGCTCCCACTGCCATTCTGCACTCTGAACATGTTCAATATTAAAATACAATGCCATTACGTACTTTCTGATGGTCTGTGGCATGAATTCTCTGGCTTTTCCATCAGTGCTGCCAAATGAGGTAGGTTTTCCTGAATTAGCAGGAGTATTGTCTTAAAATGAGAGATGAAGATGTAAACATTTCAGTACAGGTTGTATCCTTTGCTCTAAGACAGTGATGGAGAACCTTTTTCGCCTTGGGTGCCAAAATCACATACACTGGCGTGCCCACCCCATAATTTAATGCCTCCTCATGCTGTGACCCACACACACATGCGCACACGGCTTTCTTGGAGCCTGGGGAGAGCAAAAACGACCTCCCCCCGAGGCCAGAAACAGCCCATTTTCCGACTTCTGGTAGGCCCGGTAGGTCCGTTTTTCGCCCTCCTCAGGCTCCAGAGGCTTTTTAGCAGCCTGGGGAGGGTGAAAAAGGGCCCAACATGCAAACCGGAAGTTCGGGAATGGACTTCTGGTTTGCCTATTGGGCCGTTTTCCTCTCTCCGGAGGCAAAAAACGGCCAAAAATCAAGGCCAAAAATCAGCTGAAGCTGACAGCCTTGCGTGCCCTCAGAAATGACTCCACATGCCACCTGTGGCACGCATGCCATAGGTTTGCCATCATGGCTCTAAGAGATGCATTTTAGTCTGCTGGTATGCTCAGCAAAGTAGAGACGGAGTAAACTTACATGATTTAAAAACAGACTCAGTATGGGGAGAACTGGCTCAAGTCGACTTGTACCTATGAAATTTTAGTCAGTGACTTGAGCCAGTTCCTCTTGTATCCCAAACTACCGTATTTTTCGGAGTATAAGTCACACCAAAGTGTAAGACACACCAAGGTTTTGAAGAGGCAAATTTTAAAAAAAGTTTTTGCACTCTGCAAACTTCTCAAAAATGGCCCGCTTTTCGCAAAAATGGGCCCCTTTTCTTTTCCAAAAAAAGGGGCATGAATAGCCCTTGGGAGGCTTGTAGAGTGCTCCTGGTGGGGTGGGGCAAAAATGAGCAGAAAACAGGCCCATTTTTTGCTCATTTCTGCCCTCCCCAGCCCCCAGGAGCTCTCTAAAAGCCTCCTAAAAGTTATGCATGGCCATTTTGGTGAAGGGGGGCAGAGCTTCGGCAGGCAAAAAATGCTGTTTTCAGTGTATAAGATGCACCCAGATTTTCAGCCTCTTTTTTGAGGGGAAAAAGGTGTATCTTATACTCCAAAAAATACGGTACCTCTCAAGATGAAAAACTGAAGAACATCTAACATGTTAATTAGCAAATGATTGGGCCCCAAAAAGACAAGGAATGAGCTCATGAGTAAGTACTATAGCTATACCTCAACATTGCATGGCTGCTGTTAAATAGGTAATGTACAGTACAAATGTATATTCAGAAACATGTAAACCCTGTGTTTTTTCCTAAAGTAGCACTCAGGATAGCTTACAAAATTAAAGGCAGTAAGCCCATAGAACTACATTAACATAACATATTAAAAACAATGCTAACAACACATAGCTGCAGGAATAAAAAGAACACAATTTGGGTCCCATCATACAAAATGTACTTTTAACCATGGTTTGAACATGTCATAGCCGTCTAATTCATCACAATAAGCCAGAACCAAATAAACCACATTATGATTTTGTCTGTTGGATGAACCTAACCAGTCAAAAACTATGCATATAATGCCACATGCTGATTTAGAATTCATGCATAAATAAAAAGGGGTTTGTGAGAAGTCCTGGGATTATTAAGGCCCTCCCTCCCCTGCTTCTTTCCTTTTCCTGCACAGCCAGGTAGGAAAAAGCAACAGCAACTTATGTTATGTCAATAGATATTTATGGTTATGGGGACTATAGCTTAAATGACCCATTCCATCATTAAATAAGGGTCATCTGAAATTACATATCCCACACATAACAATCCAGAGATAAACCAAGTCCTGGTTTATTCTTGTTCTTGTCTGTAGTAAAATGATGAGAGAAAATGGGAGTGTGTTGTTTTGCAAAATGCTTTTTTCTCCTGATAGAGATAATGTGAAATTTTGGTTTAGCACAAGGCTAGCAAACTGATCATTTTAGGTGTTGTGGTTTCAGTTCTGATTACAAAGCTAAATGTTATAATGCTGTTAAGACAGAGCTCTAGTCCAGGCATTGGACAAAGATAGGGGCTGGATCTATATTTGGGGTCAGAATGTTATGGTGCTTGATTGTGTAATATGGTTTTATTTTGTGTTTTGATAGTTTTAAATATTACTGCAAGCCACCCAGTGTTATAGTGCATGGGGTGGATGGCCATATAAATGTTTTAAATAAATCAATATAACTTCATTGTCATGCTGATTGGAGCTCTATGAAACTAAAATCTCCAAACTAGAGATGGAATTGGATTTTGTACTTCTGGTACAATGTTATTTGTGAAAGCAGCCAAGACTGAGGAAATCATTATCAAAAGGCAGAATCCCTCTGATAAAATCATGATAGAAACGGCATGCTTTTCAGAAGGAGAAAGGGAAGGCATGTGGAGCAGAACATTTGAAAATATTTCTTCATGCACAAGTTCCTGTTATTTTTTTTCTTCCACTTTACCATCATCACCAAGGAGATCTCCAAGGACATCATCAATGGAACCTACAGCAAACCAGACAAAATAATGAGTAGAAAATTCTGGGATAGCCAAAGCAAATTCAAGACCGCATCTTCAAGGAAGACCCCAGGCAGCAGTTGTGAATAACAAAAATAAAGTCAAATCTACATGGACACCACATGGAGAGAATGGAGCCAAATAAAATGACTTATTCTGTAAAATAAAATGTTACAGAATGTTCTGAAAAGATGGTTCCAATTGGATTCAGCAAGGAAGTGCTAAAAAGGGACAACTCACACCCTGGACGGCACTTCTTTACCCTCCTACCATTGGGAAGCAGATATAGAAGCATAGCCAGCTGCACAAACCGGCTGAAGAACAGTTTTTATCTATGGGCTGTCAGATTCCTGAATGCAAAATAACATCATAACTATGTAGTACAATGGATTTGCAGGGCCGGCGCAACATGTAACATATTCACACTGGTGCAATAGGACTGGGTCAGTGGTGAAATTCCAATTTTTTTACTACTGGTTCTGTGGGCGTGGCTTAGTGGGTGTGGTGTGGCTGGTGGGCATGGCTTGGTGGGCATGGCAGGGGAAGGATACTGCAAGATCTCCATTCCCATCTCACTCTGGGGCCAGCCAGAGATGGGGTTCTTCAAACTACTCAACATTTCCACTACTGGTTCTCCAGAGCCTGTCAGAAGCTGCTGGATTTCTCCCCTGGACTGAGTTTTTGTTAATATGATTTATTGGGTTACGGATTTTTTCTCTTCACTGTGAGTTGTATTGTGTTGGGCGGGGGTGCTCCAAGGGAGCTCAACCAATCTCATTGTACATATGTTGTGCGCTGATAAATAAATTATTATTATTATTTGGAAGATGTATCCTAGAGAGCATACATTTTTCAGTGTTCCCAGATCAATGACATGGAGCTCCTGGAAATTTGATGATCAGTTTTCAAACTATCAGAGGATTCAATCAGAAATCTGAAGGTTTTCATGGATGCAATATGACCTAAATATCCTAAAATATGGGTGTCTAACCTTTTGGCTACCCTGAGTGCGTGAGGAGGAATTCACAGTGCGTGAGGAGGAATTCTTTTTGGGTCACATATAAATTATATAACATAGTTGATGTATTTAAATAACAAACTTCTCTAATTTTATATATCGTTATTACTGGTATATTTGGGGGGGGCGCATTACTACCTGTCTAGGGCTACATGTGGCCCATAGGCCACAGGTTGGACATGCCTATCCTAGAGTATAAGCAAAAATGTAATAACATCTTCCTAAGAGAAGAAAGTATAGAAAAGACATCTGAGAATCTCCAAATTTGAGAAATGACCAATCAAAGAAAACATGAAGCAGTTGGACACAACATAAACCTTTTCTCTCAACTTTTCCAGCTAAGAATACTTGGCCCAAGAAAGAAGGAAACCCTACCTATAGCCATGGAACATGGGATCAAATCATTTTCCCTAGCATACCACATCAGTTTAGATCAGCTACCCAATGTACAATGAACTATGAGTGAGTCAGGGAACAGAAGGAGGCTGTCCCTGACATGCATATGCGTAGGGCTGAGGAGGGAGCAGCTTTGGAAAAAGGCTCATAGAAGGAAATAGGAAACAGGTGGCTACTGATTGGCCCGTCCCAGAGAGCTTATATATGGGGCGACGGGAGGGGAATTTTGCAGGAAGCAACAGTTTGCTATTCCAGGTGTAGCGAAAGTTTGCAGAACTCTGTGAGTTCAGGCCTTGTTTCCCTAGAGATCATTTTCTGGGCTTCTAGCCAAGGGGTTGCTTGTCTTCCTCCTTAGTAGTGGCAGACAGCCAAGCCGGCGTCAGTATAAATTAGAGGCTTTGGACAGAACAGGTCTACATCAAAACAATACCAAATAAACCAAAATATGCTTTAACATTGTTAGGAATATAATTCTAACGGTTGGGTTGGAAATATATAAATTATGTAACAATGTAACCTGTTTCTTTAAATCATACTGTAAAATGTGATTGGTTGCTGTTTTCCTCAATC